GTGTCTTCGTCTGTAAACTGCCACTGCAGTGGCTCCAGACACGACGAAGCAGTCAGATGGTAGTCTTTACTACAACTATTGACGTTTGATCCAAAATACTTAGGCCATCCCAGCATATTACAAATATTCTCGTTTGTCTGAAACGTTGGTAGTTCTAGTAGAGACTACCATTTGGTTGTTTCTGGAGCGCCATTGAATTGTCAGTTTATTGACGTGTTTATTTATTTTGCCCTGAAGTAAAATTATTTCTTTGGTGCGTTCACTGCTTAACGAACTTCTAATTATATGTATCATTATTTCGTATGATTTGAACCATTGTATTATGATCGTGTGCTTTGTAGGTGGATTTTCTGATTTCCAGTCCAGGTATCCGGAATTGTGCGAAAATACCGTAAGTAGCATAAATACGGTTAACATTCTGCCGGTCGAGAAGCTGCAAGATAGCACAGACGATTGCTTTCGCCTTTCTTTCCGCGGACTGTCGAATTGCGGTCCGTCTCGCATAATCTCTCATTTGTTTCTGGGCTCGGTTCATGATGCGTTGAACGAGCGCTATTTAAAGGTACTCTGGTAGCAGCTCGATCCTCCTGACTGGTTTTTGACTTTTCAGAGTAATAACATCACCTACGTCATCAACCTCAGTGCCACATGTCCCAAATCTTGTTTAATAGAGGAGACAAATTTCCTGCGCATTCCCGTGATGGATTCGAATAGCGAAAAGATAATCTCTCACTTCGAAAGGGCTTTCCATTTCCTCGGTACTGTTGATCTTCTTCTGCTTGATAGAGTCATATTGTACGGCGTTTGATTTTGTTGTTTTTTAGACAAAGCGTTGAAGACCGGTGCCAATGTACTAGTGCACTGTTTGGCAGGTGTTTCGCGCAGTCCGACATTTGTCATTGCGTACATAATGCGAGAACGAGGTCTCTCCGTTGAAGAAGCTTACAGGTACAAAACGCTTGCTAGCATTGTTGATCATTAAAATTGTGCCTGTTGATCATGTTCTTTTCATTTTGAGAAATGTTTTAAGTTACAGTGTGTGATCTTAAATCCAAATCTAGCGTACGTACGTACGGTTCCTCATTCAATGTCGAATTCGTCAGACAGGTGTATTTTCGAGGTACTTGGCCATATTTTTTGTTGATCTGCAGTAAGCAGATACAGAGATACTGTTTCAATGAGTTGTATGTAAAGCGAACATCATCACCTGACGTTTTTGCATGCAACGTAGTTGCGGTTCTTTCTTTAACTTTCGTTAGTCAAAAGCCGTGGAAACTTATTCGGCACAGCAAATCTGCGAATACGATAAGGGGATGAAACGGCGCAGGAGGTTGTTCAGTTTAAATGACAGATTTTCTTCGTCTTGTATCCAGCTAGAGTAAGATAGAAAGATTCACTGTAAATTCATAATGCAATATTTTCACATGAGTTTGACTGTACCTTAAGTCAGTCAGATCTGTAGGGTCTGAATTATTATATTTTTTATTGATGTGTGTGGGTTACACGTTTTCTAAATACCACATTTCTAACGAAGGGCCTAATACAACGCTTAAACCATTTTCAGCAGCCGTAGCTTCGACAGCTATGAACACCGCATGTTATGGCCGAGTGGAGAATAGGGGGCAAGGCATCTTTGATTACGGACAGACCGATTTGCATTCTGCAAGTTAAACATGTGCGTAAGACGAATTTAATGTAAATCAGATTCAACCCTCCGTCAATAATTAATCATGCTCTATCGTCTAAGTAGTACACAAACAGTAATACATGAACATTTTTTCAAACTGTTTGTCACTTTCATTCACAGGATATATACTACTTAGATTTCAGTATGTAACTATTAATGCAAAGGAATGTAATACAGTATAAATTGTATAAAAAAATATAAAAGATGTTTAGTTTGGCTGTTCGACATGCCTTGTGAAATCATCAAGAGATAGGTGTTTCTTTAATCTCTTCATAAATCGTGATTGTAATGTTGCCTACTTTAAAAATCATCAAAGTGTATGTATAGAAATGTATAACACGTACATTTTCAACAGTAAGCAAACAAGACAGGTTTTTTCCATAGCTCTAAGAATAATTTGCGGTCCGACCTATCTGTGGAAAAAAAGAAAAGGTTATTAGGTTGAACATAAACCATTTACTCCAACCCTTAAGCTTCTCTTCTAATGAGACACGGAACACGATAGGATTCTGGCATGCAACAAAGATGATGGGTCAGCGGCGTTCCGTGATGAACTTTTCTTTTTTTCGTTGCAGCAACTAGTGCCTTATAGCAAAATCGTTGAAAAGCTGCGAATGCAGGTGCAGCTGATTTCATAAGCTGTCGAGGTTCTGTCAATGATAATGATTCGAAGTGACAAAAGCAACAAATAAACCAGCAGCAGTATATTTCTTAAACGGTTTGTGTCATTTTACTACTCATTGCAGGTTTGTTAAAGAATGCCGCCCATGCATTGCCCCAAATTTTAACTTTCTCGGCCAGCTGATGCAGTACGAAAAGCAGTTGACGGAAAAGGTGAACAAAGGAATGAACGTCGTCGCTACCACCACCGGCCGCAAGCACTGCTCAAAGTTTGGTCTCAGCGACCTGTCACTGGTTAATCACGAACTCACCAAGAACTGTGCATCGTTGAAAGTCGGTGCGGAAGTACGAGGGAACGTCGTCGTTGCTGGTCAGGCGAACCCTTCGGCGTCAGCGACGACTGCGCTGACCACTGTAATTTTGCGGAATAAGCAGCATCACGAACATCGCGAACAGCCCGATCGTTACAAACACCGTTCATCTCTAGTGGTCAGCATCGGCGCCGCTTGTCTGCCGGTCGTCAGAGACAGTGCCAAATGTATCTTCAGAAGAATATCGCCTATCAAAACGCAAGCTACTAAACCCGTGGTCGCGTTCGTCAGACAATCATCGATTTCATAATCATTGTTGTACTTTTATGTACAAGTGGTCTTAGATCTTTTTATATCACCGCTCAGAGCATTTCTTTCTGTGTTTAAATCACGTCATTGGCTACCACTGCGTCGAAGCGTCTATCGTATCCGCGCAAAAATGTTTTAAGACGTTACCAGGTACTTTTGGACTGTCTTGCA